TTATTAGGAAATATGGTAAGGCTATTCTATTTTCCAGAAAAGATAGCGACTATACTACTGTTGGGCCTCTTCTCTAAAGGTTCAAAAGTATGTTGAAAGAGGACAAAGAGCGTGAAGAGTGCAGACAGATTTAAAGCGGAACTAAAGGTAAAAATATTTTATCTTGGTTCCAATTGTCCATTGCCTGCTAAGTCCTTTGCCTGGGCTGGTATCTTCTCCCTGGCTTTTTCTGGATACCAGTCTTTGGCCATCTTGATTGGCTGGTGTGGAATGACGTCACTCCCATGCATGCGCAGGAGTGCAGTCATCACAACATCAAGGCAGTATTCTGGAGTGTAAATTAAATAAATTGAGCTGTGCATGTGCAATTTAGTGTACATTCTACAATCTTCTCCATTTTTCATTTTCTGACTTTAGTCCAGCTTAAAGAGAAAGCAAAAGAGAGAAGGATGCCAACATAGAAGGAAGACTGAATAGAAAGAGAAAAAAAGAGTAGAGATGGGGAAGAGAAAAAGCTGCACACGCTATTTGTTTCTAGATCTCTAGCAATATTCTAAGTAGAAAGCAGGGCAGCCTAGGACACGTCTCCAGTATGCTGTCTATGAATAAGCTTGACTGCATTTTTTTTTCACAAAGCAGAAGTGCTTTATTGAGAAATAAATAAGCACAATAAACACAGTGCATATGGAGAACATTGGCATGGCACACAATATAAGAGCAATGGATACAGTACAAAAAAACAGCATTGCAGAAGGACTGAAAAGCCAGTTAGGTAGTCACACTTACACAATAAACAGTAACGTATCACATAGCGTTCCCAAGTAAAGATTAGGGCTGGTGGAATTCATGGAAATAGGTGGAACGGAAGGAGGGAGTGGGGGGGGGGGGGGGGTGAGCAGGGAAAAAAGAGGGAGAGGAAGGAAGTACAAGATACCCTATAGCTTATCTCCTGTGGGTACTGTGGATACCCCAGACTTCTGGGGACCCAACTGTTAGTCCAACTACTGTGACGTTTAAGGGAGCCACACTTTATCAGTCACAGTTCAAGTAGTTAAGTTTGCACATAGGCAATGCTGCATCAATTGCGGCCTCCCAGGACGAAACAGCAGGGGGGTCCGCCGAGGTCCATCTCAACAAAATTTCCCTCTTGGCATAGTATAGTAGTAAGATATTAACAGTTTGAGATGGTGGGAGCGTTGCTTATCATGAATGCCAAACAGGGCCAGTGTGGTTGAGAGAGGCAGGGTCAGCTGCAATCGTAGGTTAAATCAATTCAAGCACTTCCGACCAGAAGGGAGTGATTTTGGGACACTCCCAAAACATATATGTAGATACCTTCCCTGATGTAACCGGCAGTGGGTACAGGTAGGGTCTCCTCTTGGATATATCTTATTGAATTTTACAGCATATAATAAACCCTGTGCAAGAACTTAACCTGTATCAGTTAATCCCCAGAAGAGATGACTAACTTAGGGCCTTGTTCTAGACAGTCCTCCCAGTCATCTTTTGTAAGGGATGGGACATCCTCCCTCCAAAGTTCCAAAGGCGGACAATCTTGGGGGAAACTACTCATAATAATGTCCTATATAGGGAAGATAACGGTTTTAGGAGGTCATCCCCTATAATCAGATCCTCAATAGGGTTGGCCTGAAGGGTAGGTGGCAGTGGAAATTGCGCTCTGATCGCATGCTGTAATTGGTAATAGCGAAACAGCATCCTCTGTGGTAGGTGGAACAGAGAAGGAAGTTGGGAGAATGGTAGCAGTACTCCAGAGGGCATAATATCCGCTAGGGTCTTGATGCCATACTGTGCCCATAGCTGGGGTCCGGAATAGATCTAATATATAGAAGGGAGGGATTCCCCCAAAGAGGTTAGGCCTCAAAAATCTGCATGTAGCCATTTTTCACGCTCTCAAGATAGCCTGTGTGGGGCCAGGGACCGCATCATGCACCTTACGCCCCCTATACACTATATTAAGCAGATCAGCTAAGGAGCCCAGGTGGGCCGCTTCCAGGCAGACAGCAACATTGGACCTAGGACCCCCAAACCACCAGTAGACCGTCACTAGCATTGGAGCCCTGTAATATATTTGAAAGTTTGGGAGTGTCAGCCATCCTAGATGAGGAGGGAGGTGTAAGGTGGACTTACTGAGAAGAGGAAGAGCACCATTCCAGATAAAAGAACCTACCAGGCGATCTATCTCCGTAAAAAATTATGCAGACATCCACCCTGGGCAGTTTCGAAAAAATGTAATTGAATTTAGGTAGGAGCATCATTTTTAAAAGATTGATGCAACCTATCAAATTTAGGGGAAGACTTGACCAAGCTTGACACCGCTCCTGTAATAAAAACATGAGGGGAAAATGATTATGCTCCTGGAAATGGGATATGTTCTTAGAGATGTGAACTCCCAGATAACAAAAGTTGTCAACCCACTTTAGTAGCAAGGGACACGTCTCCATGTGATCGCCTTCATCCAGGGCAAAAAGAAGAGATTTAGTCCAATTTATATGCACACCTGAGAAGGGACCATATGCACCAAAAAGCTCTAAAGCCTTCAGGAGCAAGGGAACTGCATCATTAAATAGCCAGGGGTTCCAGTGCTAAGGCAAATAAACTAGAACATAAGGGCAGCCCTGGTGGGTACCACGATGTAGTGCAAATGGATTAGACAGCCAGTTATTAGTACGAACACATGCCTTAGGGGCTTTATACAACAACTGGATCCAGGTGATATATTTTGGCCCAAATCCAAAGGGCCTGAGGACTTCCCAAAAGATAGACCTATTCTACTGAGCCAAATGACTTCTTGACGTATAAGGCGATTACTTTGGAGCCCATTATATCAGTTCCCTTCCCAGCTTCCAAGGCATGAAAGCTGTCTGGTCTACATGAATCAGCTCCTCAAGCACCATGGAGAGGTGCTTAGCCAAGATCTTAGCAAAATTCTTAGCATCAACATCATTTAATAGTGATATTGCGCTGTAGGAGGCACATTCCAATGGGTCTTTCCCCAGCTTGGGAACCAATACAATAATAGCTTCTTCCATAGATGCAGGGAGTGCATTCAAGGAAGAAAGGTCAGTCAGCAAACTTGTAACCCTAGGGGCGAGAAGGTCAACAAACTGGGAGTAAAACTCCATTGGGAGGCCATCTGTCCCGGGAGTCTTCCCATTCTGAAGACCAACAATTGCCTCCTGGACCTCCTCCAGGAAGATATCTGTCTCCAATCGCTCCCCTAGATGTTTGATTCAAGGTGGGGAAAGGAACTGTGTGAAGGATGGTAGCAAATTCAGTGGCAATGTACCTGGCCCTAGAAGTGAAAAAATTCATAAACCGGGCATTAATATAGTCCGAAGAGGAGATTAGGCATCCATCTGCATCCTTGATACTGTCAATAAGAGTAGTGGTCAATTGCCCCTTAGCAAACCAGGCCAGTAACCTACCATTTTTGCCCCCATACTCAAAAACCTGCTGAGCAAAGGAGCTTTCTGAGAGCTTTCTTAGTCTGTTCTACCTGAGCCACAGAGAGCTGACTTAGAGCGTGTCGCCAGGCGAGATAATGATCAGGATCCAGAGACGCAATGTAAGCTGTCTCTAAATTCTGCAACTCATCCTCCAACATAGTAAGTGAATGGGCTGTATCCCTCCTTTAGACCGCTAATTTGGGAAATGTTTTCACCCCTGACCCAGGCCTTAAATATGTTCTATAACAGTGGAGACATGGATACTGCATTCAGGACCCAATAATTGCAAAGTGATTCTGTAAGTGGTTCCAGCAACCTTGTATCCATCACCCAAAACCTGGACAGGTGCCACAACCGAATACCGGGAGGGGGAGAGAGTGACAAATTAAAACTAATGGGGGCCTGATCAGAAACCCTTCGGGGTAGGATATAGGTCTCTTGTACCAAACAAAGAAGCTCAGGGGAGGCAAAAGCCAGGTCAATACGGGACAGAGTCTTATAGGAAGCTGAATTGCAGGTGTATTCTCTGCTAGTTAGATGAAAGTGACGCCAAACATAAGTTAGAGTAAATGTCCTGGCCCAGTGAGCTAAATCTAGGGGAACAGGTAGTTGGGTGGAGCCTCTCCCTGTCTGGACAAGGGGCCATGTTGAAATCTCCTGCAATCAAAACATTATCTGTATCATACTGTACAAGTTGTTGCTTTATGGCATAAAGAGTTTGAGTAGAGGCAGGTAAAGACACACCAATGCCACTACCAAATCATACAGTTTATACAAGCATGAAGGATGACATATCTACCCTCCGGGTCAGTGTGCACATCTAGAGCCTGAAGTGGTAGGAACTTATGAACTAGGATAATGACTCCACGAGCATAATTAGAATACGTGGCATGGTAATGCTCCCCTACCCAGGGCCTCTTTAGACTCAAAATCTTAGAACCCAACAAATGTGTTTTCTTTAAGAATGCAAATTTGAGGGCTATATCGCTTCAGAAACTGGAAGACCAATGATTGCTTGGTAACCAAATTTAATCTTCTGACATTCCAAGAAATTACAGTTGACTGCACTTTATTTTATTATTAGACCACTAGTTATGTCATCTCTGCTGAAATATCCACCATTTTATTAACATAGCTGTCCCTTATTTAGAAGGAATGTCCCCCTGCCCCTCTTTTCTTTTCAGTTGCCCCTCTTTGGAGTCTGATTAAAAATGTTACTACACTAAAATTTTCCATTAAACCTTCAGTTAATATTAACGTACTGGATCTTGCAATAGTGATAAAAAGTAAAGGTGAAAAGGATAATTTTGGAGTACCAGGGAGCTTGCCAGGAGTGTCCTTTGCCTAATTGTGTTAAATGGTGTCCCTATTTTTAATCTCAGAAAGTTGAGATCTAAGAATTAATACAGTGATAGCGATGTCCCCTGCTTTCTTTAACAGGGAGTTTGTGTTGTCATTTCCAGTGATTAAGCAATATAGTTTAAATTTGCAACTAAGCAGCACCATCTCTGCTTTTTCTTGTGATTTCAGGCATTACTTGTCCATGTTAAAAGGTTTTTCTGTGGCGGAGTTCTGATTCACCCATACTGGGTGCTCACTGCAGCGCACTGCTTCAAAGGGTTTCAAAATAATGCAAAGTACTATGTACGGCTTGGTATGTACCTGTTCAGCCTACCTATTTGTGTTTTGCCTAAAGTGGTTGTAAAGGCTGAAGGTTTTTTACCTTCATGCCTCCTATGCATGAAGGTAACAAACCTTCTGTGTACTGCTTGCCCCTTTTAAGATTCACTTGAGCCCCCTCTTGATCCAGCGATGTGCACAGGAGCTTTGGCTCTCCCAGGACTCCCTCTCCTCATTGGCCTCTTGCTGTAGAGGCACTTGGCAGGTGGGAGGGACCAGGACTGCCGGTGGTTGAACCTTTAATAACACTTTAAAGTATAACTAAAGGCAAAACATTTTTTTTCTAGTTTTGGATAGGGAGTCGAGGGATTGGAACACATGGTTTTATTGTTGTCTGTGTCCCCATTATGGAGATTCACATTATTTGTCCTGTTTACCATTATCATTGAAAGTGAACATTAAAGTGTTACTAAACCCACAGCAGTAAAATCAGTCTGTATATGCAGTAAAGCATGCTTGTTCTACTCACTATGGAACCTAAGGGGTTAATCCTCTGCATTGTGTAAAAAGGCTGTTTGATCCTGTCTTCTCTGATCCTCCCCTTATTCCAGTGCTCCCCTCTTATCTCCTGATAAGACATATTGTGTGGAGTCCCTCTGCACATGCTCAGTTTTGTGTGTATTTTTTTTTATATCTTGGGAAAGTGCATGTGATCAGCACTGTCCAAACAAAGAATATGCACACTGTAAGCAACAACACAGTTACACATCAGGTGTTCTGCATCCTCCTGGAGCAGAAAGAAAACTCCTACAAGCTTTAACATGTGCTCTTCTGGACACTGATAGAAATCACAAGACTGCTATATACTGCTGAAGAGAAAAGGTATTTAGCAGTTTATATTTACTAAAACAATTGCATTTCCATGTTCTGTACTGTGGGAGGCCAGATATAGTGAATGCATGGTCCTGGAATTAGTAACGCTTTAAAGAAAATCCTAAATTTTGGGTTGTCCCCAGAAAAGTAATAAAGGGGAAATCTTCCAATGGGAGCACTAGTTTTGGTGACCTGATGGTTTCCAAAGAATGCCCTTAGTTTGCACGAATTTCCTTTCACTTTCTGTTTGGCTATGGGACAGGAAGTGAAGAGAAATCTCTCCAATGGGACACAGATGTTGAAAAAAATGGGTTGTAAAAAAAAAAGGGAGGGGGACGAGCAATTAAAGGGCAATAAGGCCCCTTTCACATGAGCGGACTCTGCCATCAGGTCCGCTTGCTCAGTGGGGGATCTGTCCACTGATCCTGGCAGATGACAGGTTTGTGTCCACTCTGCTTCTGCAGAGTCGACACTGACACAGCCCACTTTCCTCTATGGGGCGGTTGGATGTAAACAGGCCACCTGTCAGTTTACATTGTACTGTCATCCAATCCGATCCACTAGACAGATAATGGATGGATCCCCAATCGTTTGTTTTCAGGGTTTGGATTATGCTGCTCCATAGAGGGCAATAGATGGGTCTGATTGGGTCTCCCTGATTGGACCATCCATTGCCCTCTATCAGTCCCCCATATGAAAGGGGCCTAAATAAAAAAGAAATATAAAATATACAATAAACAAATCCATATACAATTAAAGAAAAAATGGAATAAAAAAAAAACAATATAAACCACAAAATACTTAAATAGCTTCAAATAATGTCAGCTGAACAAATATTAAAAATGACCCATAAACATAATTAATAAACATAAAAACTGAAAAAAAGGAAGAAATTAAAGAAATAATGAAAATCATTGCATGTCCATAAAAAAGTCCCAATTAGCAAACCCCATAGAAAACAAAAAAAAAAAAAAATACGCACACTGTAAGCAACAACACCGTTACACATATAATGATACACAAGTGTCATAAGCAAAAAAAGAGGGAAGGGTTTTTGTTTTTTTTTACATGAAACCATCATAGTTTATATACAAAAGATTATAAAACAATGACCCTTTAAAAATCCCCTACAATTAAGTGCGTAAGTATCTAAAAGGTGCACCATTTTCAAATACAGACTAGAGTAGAAGCCTTAAAAAGGAACAAGCCACATAAGAATAGACGGTACTCCTCCAAAGCACTAAGTTTATTTATTTATTTCAGATACTTATATAGTGCCATCAATTTACGCAGCGCTTAAGTTAAAGCTAATCTCCACCATTTGCTATACTATACATAGTTTCTAACCTGTGAGGCTGCTGGATGTGTGGTGTAAACAGCATACAGCACTTTGTTCCGGGTTAGGGCTGAAACTTCCACTCTTAGATCTGGAATACAGTAGATTCAGAGTCTATCACAATGGCACTCAGCCATTCAGAGTAAGCAATGTATTCTATCAATGAATACACAGCTTCCTCTGATTGGCTGAGTCAGAGAGAGATGCTGATGAGGTCACAACCTTTATTGATAGAATACATTGCTCACTCTGAAGGGCTGGGCGCCCCTGTGATAGACTTTATTGTGTTCTGGGTCTAAGACTGGAAATCTCAAACCGGACACATAGCGTGGTATTCTGTATGTAGCCGCAGCTACATACAGTTGATACCGCACATCCAGTGGCCTGACAGGTTAGTGGGGGGTACAGTTCATTTGGGCTAAGCTGGCCCAAACGCACTACGTAAAGAGTATTGAAAGGTGGAGATTTGCTTAAAATGACAAAATATGGTGCTCCGACAGAATACAATCATAGACATAAAAAATAATAAACGTATGTGTGTAAATAAATCAAAGTGGGCCAATGGACAGAACCACCTTTGCAGAAACAAAAGGTGACCCCAAGTTTGCAACAATATGGAGGTGAGCATGCCAAATATATATATAAGGCTCATAAACAGAAAAGCTAAAGAATTGTGGAAACCTCTAACTCTCCGTTCAAACTTCTAGAGGTAAGGGAATTCAAGTTAAAAATTCAGAGTCTCTCTGGAATAAAGCCTCTTCAATCTCTCACCCTCCAGAGGTTGTCAAGAAATAGACTCAGTGGTAATGAGGTTCAAATTGCTGGGATACTTATTGTGATATTTGCTGGAATGTTTAAAGATGTTATACTTTGGGGAGCCTTTTCAATGTTCCTATGTTCCCCAAAGCATGCCCTGAAGGTCCTGACTGTCCTACCAACATGCCACAAATCCAAACAGAGAAGTCCATACTGAATAAAATGACCCAGAGATATTGTCAAAAATGTTATACCTCGGTTTTTTGCTAGTGGACTCGAAAGTGTACTCACCATTCAAAACCAATCAGCTTGTAACCCAAAACAATATAAATCTTCAAAGTATTGACATAATTTGTTCATGGGTACTTTCTAACAAAACTGTGGCCTTTCTGTAAAGCCTGGGAAGGTTTTTTTATTTATTTTTTTTGTGTTTGCTTTGTTGTAGTTATTGTCACTGTATCATATATTTCCACTATATACCAGCTATAAAAAGTAATTTCTGATATCATCCTTCTCTTACTCTTGAATCTGGTTATATTACAGGTGAATATGACCGCCGGACTCTGGAAGACACAGAGCAACAAATTGCAGTCACCAGGCTCATCATTCATCCCAAATTTGACCCTGCAACAGTCAATAATGACATTGCTCTTATGCGTCTTGCCCAGCCAGCTGTGTATGACAAATATGTGCTGCCCATCTGTCTACCAAGCTATGGACTTTCTGAAAAAAACCTGACAGTAGAGGGCACAGAGACAATTGTAACTGGTTGGGGGTTCCAGGATCAATCTCATCGCAACCGAACGATGATCCTTAGCTACATACAGGTCCCTATAGTCTCCAGTAACATCTGTTCAGAAGTTATGAGTGCCAGAGTAACAGATAATATGCTATGTGCAGGAATACTGGGAGACATTCAGGATGCATGCTCTGGGGACAGTGGGGGGCCCATGGTAACTAGGTTTGGTGGTACCTGGTTCCTTGTTGGGCTGGTGAGTTGGGGAGAGGGTTGTGGACGGCTGGATAATTTTGGAGTCTACACTAAAGTTCATTATTACCTCGACTGGATTAGTCAGACAATGGCAAACTATGAGACAGAGGTGAAAAAAGTGAAGCAAAATCCAAAAGAGGCACAAAAACAAACATGAGACTTAATAGTCTATTAGAATACAACTACTGCAATCTATCTAAAGACAAGTGCGATTATTTTCATATGAAAAAATATTGTTGTAACTAAACTATTCACCAGCATTTTGTAAAGAAATGCAATAAAGATGATCATAACTAATGTCATGCCTTCTCTATTCTTTTACAATAAAAAAAAAAGCTTGGGTGCCAATAATTGTTAAATCAGGGATGGACACTGTGGTTGTAGGACACAGCTGCAGCCTTCATTCACAAATTAGTGTTATGTCTGTTTAACCCTTTTTTTTTGCCATCAATTTAACTGTAAATGTGTTTTCGTCATATCCTTATACTGTACATGTACAGTTGTGTCCAAAATTATTCAACCCCCAATGCTGTAAAGGGGTTTAGGGACTATAGTGTACATTTGGAATTGTATTCAGAATCAAATCCTACAAGGACGTTGTAACTACCCAAATGCAACTAAAATGACATCAATTGTTTATGTAATACAGTAGTAAATGGTTCTTATGTGGTTTCTTCATTGCCACAATTATTCAACCCCTTAAAGACTACCACTCTGAAGAACAGAGGTTCATACAGGTGCTTTCCATCAGGTATTGAAAACACCTGTGGATGTCACCGAGCAGCAATCAAGCATAATAAGCACCAATTAGGCAGCTTTAAAATGACTGTGATACTCAGCTCCTTCTAGACATTTACTGGTGTGGTTACAAACATGGTGAAGGCAAGAGAATGGTCCAGGAAGACAAGAGAAGAGGTGATTTCTCTTCACAGGAAGGGCAATGGCTATAAGAAGATTGCAAAGATGTTAAACATACCAAGAGACACCTTAGGAAGCATCATTCGCAAATTCAAGGCAAAGGGCACTGTTGAAACGCTACCTGGTCGTGGCAGAAAGAAGATGCTGACTTCGACTGCTGTGCGCTACCTGAAGCGTAGAGTGGAGAGAAGTCCCCGTGTGACTGCTGAGGAACTGAGAAAAGATTTGTCAGATGTGGGTACAGAAGTTTCAGCCCAGACAATAAGACGCACACTGCGTAATGAAGGCCTCCGTGCCAGAACTCCCAGGCGTACCCCCTTGCTGTCTCCAAAGAATAAGAAGAGTCGACTGCAGTATGCCAAAAGCCATGTGGACAAACCACAAAAGTTGTGGGATAGTGTTCTGTGGACTGATGAAACAAAATTAGAACTGTTTGGGCCCATGGATCAACGCTATGTTTGGAGGAGGAAGAACAAGGCCTATGATGAAAAGAACACCTTGCCTACTGTGAAGCATGGTGGAGGGTCAATCATGCTTTGGGGCTGTTTTGCTTCTGCAGGTACAGGGAAGCTTCAGCGTGTGCAAGGTACCATGAATTCTCTTCAGTACCAGGAGATATTGGATGGAAACGTGATGCAGTCCGTCACACACCTGAGGCTTGGGAGACGTTGGACCTTTCAACAGGACAATGATCCCAAGCATACCTCCAAGTCCACTAGAGCATGGTTGCAGAGGAAAGGCTGGAACATTTTGGAGTGGCCATCGCAGTCACCAGACTTAAATCCGATTGAGAACCTCTGGTGGGACTTAAAGAAAGCAGTTGCAGTGCGCAAGCCTAAGAATGTGACTGAACTGGAGGCCTTTGCCCATGAAGAATGGGCGAAGATACCCGTAGATCGCTGCAAGACACTTGTGTCAAGCTATGCTTCACGTTTAAAAGCTGTTATAACTGTAAAAGGATGCTGTACTAAGTACTAAGATTGAATGTCACTTGGGGGTTGAATAAAACTGATAATGCTGTGAGCACAGAAAAGACATTTGTGGTTATTTCATTATAACTGTTATGTTATATTTGTCTGACCTACAAGTGCCTCTTTAATGTAAATGTAAGCAAGATGACTGAATGATCAAAAGCATGTCAAACTGGCCAAAACACTCAATTTCAGTGGGGGTTGAATAATTTTGGACACAACTGTATAACCCGAAGATTGTTTTAAACTCTACGTTTAACTTAAACTACAAATCTAAAAATCAGCACAAGGGACACCACTTACATCTAGTTTTACATTTATATATGTATGTGTCCCAAGTTCTGAGTCTTCATGGTTTAGGAGAAATTTCCTCTTTCCCACCCCCTCCCCTGTTAATACACTGCTCAAAAAAAAATTAAAGGAACACTTTGAAAACACATCAGATATCAATGGGGAAAAATATCATGCTGGATATCTATACTGATAAGGACTGGGTAATGTGTTAGGAATGTAAGGATGCCCCATCATTTGATGGAAATGAAAATTATCAACCTACAGAGGACTGAATTCAAAGACAGCCCGAAAATCAAAGTGAAAAAATGATGCAGCAGGCTAGTCCATTTTGCTGAAATTTCATTGCAGGAACTCAAAATGGTACTCGAGTGCAACGAAGGGTCTGACAGTGGGTCCAAGGATTTCATCCCATTACCTAATGGCAGTCACAGTGCCATTGTCTAGCCTGTAGAGGTTTGTGCGTCCCTCCATAAATATGCCTCCCCAGACCATCACTGACCCACCACCAAAACAGTCATGTTGAACGATGTTATAGGTAGCATAACATTCTCCACGGTTTGTCCAAACCCTTTCCAAACCCTTTCATGTCTGTCACATGTGCTCAGGGTGAACCTGCTTTCATCTGTGAAAAGCACAGGGTGCCAGTGGCGGACCTGCCAATTCTGGTGTTCAATGGCAAATGCCAATCGAGCTCTATAGTGCCGGGCAGTGAGCACTGGGCCCACTAGAGGATGTTGGGCCCTCAAGCCACCCTCATGAAGTCTGTTTCTGATTGTTTGGTCAGACATTCACACCAGTGTCCTGCTGGAAGTTATTTTGTAGGGCTCTGGCAATGCTCATCCTGTTCCTCCTTGCACAAAGGAGCAGATACTGGTCCTGCTGATGGGTTAAGGACCTTCTATGACCCTGCCCAGCTCTCCTAAAATAACTGCCTGTCTCCTGGAATCTCTTCCATGCTCTTGAGACTGTGCTGGGAGACACAGCAAGCTGTCTTGCAATGGCATGTATTGATTTGCCATCCTGGAGGAGTTGGACTACCTGTGCAACCTCTGTAGGGTCCAGGTATTGCTCCTCATGCTACCAGTAATGACACTGACCCTAGCCAAATGCAAAACTAGTGAAAAACAGTTAGAAAAGATGAGTAGGGGAAAAAATGTCAGTGGCCTCCACCTGTAAAACCATTCTTGTTTTGGGGCTCGTCTCATTGTTGCCCATCGAGTGTACCTGTTAATTTCATTAACACCAAAGCAGCTGAAACTGAAACCCCCCTCTGCTACTTAACTGACTAGATCAATATCCCAGGAGTTTAATTGACTTGATGCTATACTCTGATTAAAACGTGTTATTTACATTTTTTGAGTAGTGTACAATTTAAGGGCTGTCAGGAGCTCTCATCAAGAGGGCTTCACTATGCTCACCCTTTACTCCCAACTGCCATTCACCATTCATAGGTGACAAACTACAACTCCCATGAATGACAAAGGATTTCTGAATGGAGGGGCAGAGCTCTCAATCACCCGCCTGTCCCCCCATTCAGAGATAGTTTGTAAACAATCAGTTTCAAAACAATAGAGTGCAGCGCTTAAAAAAGATGAAAAGTCAATAAGGTGATAGTACAATATCCACAGTGGTAAACTGTAGATACACGAATTCCCACGGCCTCCACTCTGTCAGAATAACAGAAATGCGCACTCACCGGAAACGCATGGGTTATGCGCATGTGTGATCATGCATCACAAGCAATAGGTACATCAGAAGCCAGGCATCTCCCTCACGGTAGGTCATCACAGACTCCTAAGATAGGTCCGGGGGTCCCCTTAAGGTCAGCCAGGTACTTCAGAAAAAAACCTCATCTCAGGATGGCAAAGTGCTTTTTCTATGGGAGTGAAAGCTCCAGGCAGGAGCCCCAAAAAACAGATGCCCAAAATAGTGTAGTATGTCCAAAAAACGAGTTTTTATTATTAGAACAATAGGGCAGTATGCAAGTAGTATATCATGTATAAATTAAAATACAGCAGTACTGACCCCAGTGATGGTGACCGCCGAGCCTCCTCGTGGCTCCGGCGGTGGAATGACGTCACGCTCTGCACAGTTCCTCCTTAGGCCTTTTCGTGCTAAAGGCACATCATCAGAGGGGAGACTGTACCGTACAGTCTCCCCTCTGATGATGTGCCTTTAGCACGAAAGGCCTAAGGAGGAACTGTGCAGAGCGTGACGTCATTCCACCGCCGGAGCCACGAGGAGGCTCGGCGGTCACCATCACTGGGGTCAGTACTGCTGTATTTTAATTTATACATGATATACTACTTGCATACTGCCCTATTGTTCTAATAATAAAAACTCGTTTTTTGGACATACTACACTATTTTGGGCATCTGTTTTTTGGGGCTCCTGCCTGGAGCTTTCACTCCCATAGAAAAAGCACTTTGCCATCCTGAGACGAGGTTTTTTTCTGAAGTACCTGGCTGACCTTAAGGGGACCCCCGGACCTATCTTAGGAGTCTGTGATGACCTACCGTGAGGGAGATGCCTGGCTTCTGATGTACCTATTGCTTGTGATGCATGATCACACTTGCGCATAACCCATGCGTTTCCGGTGAGTGCGCATTTCTGTTATTCTGACAGAGTGGAGGCCGTGGGAATTCGTGTATCTACAGTTTACCACTGTGGATATTGTACTATCACCTTATTGACTTTTCATCTTTTTTAAGCGCTGCACTCTATTGTTTTGAAACTGATTGTTTGTATTTGAGGCATTATGGTTGCCTAAAGTGTTCTAGCTGCTGACATTTATGAGAGCGCTCACTATTTATCTTTTGTAGAGATAGTTTGTAGTTTGTCACCTATGAATGGTGAATGGCAGTTGGGAGTAAAGGGTGAGCATAGTGAAGCCCTCTTGATGAAGCTGTATCATCCTGTATCATTCATAGAAGCTGTAGTATGGCTACAATGAATGACAAGGCAGAGTAGAAAA